TTCAGAATCTCAACTAAGTTACTCAGACTGGTCTTGTTACTCTGTAGCCCAAATGGGTCTTGAACTTATGATGTTCCTACATGAGACCTCCATGGTAGCTGGAATTACAGGCCTGTACCTCCATGCCTGATTGACTTAAGTCATGTCCCATCTAACTTCCCACCAGCCTTTGCTGCAAGGCTTCTCGGACTTTCCCGCAAGGGCCTGACGGGCTCCCCATTGCCTATGCTGTGTACCCCTGGTTTATGAGGCATAGCATAGCTCCTGTGAGATGGTCCCATGCTCCTCTTTGGGCCTACCCTGGCCCTACCCTCTGATTCAGGCCCAGGGAACTCCTTGTTACCCAAGGTATCTCCATTCTCACTATCTCTATGCCTTTGAGTATGCTGTGCCCTGAGCCCATACCCCAGCTGGCCCAGACCTAGGCTGTACCTGGCATCCCAGCTCCTGGAAGGTCACAGGCTGCATCAGTCTTGAACACTCTTCAGCAACATGGCTTCTTTAACTTCCTCCTAAAATGCTAACTCTCCGTGAGGCCTCAATGCCTGGGGAATGTCTATCCACAAAGGAGGCAATGGCTGTGTCTAAGAGGCTGTCATTGGCCACGCCCTCAACCCTTCTTTTGAGGTTCCAGTCAGTGCAGTCCTCTGGTATGCCTTGTTTCCAGGCAACTGGCCCTTTGTAACACACAAACCAGTGGTGGTTTTTGGTTATTGTTGTTGTTTACTTTATTTTGGGGTGTGTGTGTGGGGGGAGGTACATATGTCACAGCATACACACAGCAGTCAGTCAGAGGACAAAATTGTGTAGCTGCATCTCTCCTCCACCTTCTTGTGGGTTCCAGAGGTTGATCCCAGGTTGCCAGGCTTACACAGCATCTCCATTCCCTGGTAAGCCATCTCACTGGCTCTTAAAAAAAAAAGTTTAGATTGTTATGTTCCTTATAATGTCCAAGGGAAAGTACAGAGAGCAGGGTTCTTTGACAGCGAGCCCGTCAAGGGGTGAGCTTTGGGCCTGGCACAAAACAGGCTCCCCATAGCTGTGGTAAGAGAATGGACAAAAAAGGTCCCCATGGCGTCACTGCAGACAGAGCTGGCCCTGCACACACAGAGCACCCCCCCTTCTGCATTCTGGATTTTCTTCAGTGTCCCTTCCCAGCCTTCTCCCACTCTGCTTGCTGGCTTTTGGAGGCACTAATGCTGTCACTGTCCCAGTGGATGTTTGGTAGGGCCAGTGGGACTCTGTGTGCGTGTGTGCACGCACAAGGGGCTCTGAGGGGGTTGGAAACAAAGGCCCGGAGTGAGATCCAGGGCACAGCTGAACTGCCCTGAACTCGCCTTTTTGTTTTCAAGGAAATGCATAATCCAAGAACCACCCACGGCCCTGGCCCTGGCGGGCCCAGCTAAGCAGGGCTGGAATGCACTGCCTTTCCCGTTAGTAATTGTTTTTTCTAGTTAGCCTGTAACCCTTCCCCTGCCGCTCCCAGCTCCACAGCTGCTGGGGCCTGGCTCTGTCTTAGTCAGCCTCCCTCGGAGATCCACCTGGAGGGATGGACACCTAGGCCTACTTCCTGGGGCATCTCCAGCTCAGTCTCACTTGTACAGAGGTGGCTCCTGGGTTTGGGGACAAACAGTGGCCTGCAGTTTTCTCCCCCACTCTGACAGGCACTAGAAGAAATCTAGGCTGGAAGACTACAAAAGAGAGGGTAGACCTGGAGGGGCCCAGGAGGGTTTGTGACAGGGTCTGTACATCTTACCGCAGCGCTTTTGTGACTGTGGATGGGGTCACTCTGAGCTAGTGAAAGGAACTTACTTGTGTGTGCCTAAGTGTGTGTGTGTGTGTGGAGGTGCTGTAGCCATATGCTCCTGTCAATGTGCTGGGAAGGACAGAACTTAGAGCCTCTCTGCCCTTGTCAGCATCCCTTTGAGCCTTCGCTCCAGGAGGAGGCAGCACTCGGCCCCGTGTTTCTGCCCTCAGAGGCTTCCCTCTCACGGACACGAGGGCAGAGTAGAGAGTGGCTGAACTTGGTGTTACTTAAGGTGTACATTTGCAATCCCAGAGGACAAGAGGTCAGGTGCTTAAGCTGTGTGCATCTCACTCCATCCTGTTCCTGCCTGAGCCAACCGTTTGTTTTGATCCAAGTTGGAGGCCTCCGGCTGCATTCCCTGAGGTGCCCATAGTTGCAGCCAGGCCTCTGCTCAGGAGGAGGTGGGTGTGGGAATAAGAGAGACAACTGGGTGTTGCCCTCCACTCCAGCCTCCCTGTAGCATGTACTGCCTATGCCTCATCCTCAGTAGGCCTGGCCTCTGCCCTAGGAGGGATGCTAGGGGTGGACTCAGCCCCCATCTCTCCTGAAGATGGGGAGGTCTGTCCCTTCAAAAAGAATCGCTTAGAACCATGGTGGAGCTACAAACTCCTGAGGCTGAGGCCTATGCTGACAAAGACCATGTCTTGGGCTGGGTCTCAGGCCTTAGGATCCACCCTGGATAGTCCCCTGGGCAGCTGGCAAGATAGACAGGGCCAGGGCGAAGTCCAGCATGGCCACCGAACATTTGGTGCAAATCAAAGGCACTTTTCCAGCCAGGACAGGAATGCTGGATTTGGGACCAGGCCTGGCGGGGCTAACACTGCCCTTAATTGAGGCCCTTTTAGACTTTTAATTATAAGCAATATTTTCCCAAGCTTCCTAAATTGACCGTGGAGACCCGCTGGTGTTAGAGCCTGTGCCATGGACCGAAAGGCGCAGGGGTGGGGGTGGTGCGGTGTTAGAGTGTTTGGAGTAGGTTTATTTTAGTAAAGGCTTTGAGGTGAGAATGCTCACACAAAGAGACTGAAGTCATGTTTCTGGGAGGGACAGGCCTGAGTTCAGAGGCAAACGCCTGTGGGCATGATCAGACACACAAGGGTGGAACGTGGGCACAGACAAACACCTGTAGAGAAACACATAGCACAGACAGTTGCATAAACACCGGGGCTGGAAATCCCTTCCAGGCACCTGGAAGCTGCAAAAAGGAAAACCCTGTTGGTGGCTCCGCCCACTCTTCACCTTTGCCTCCTCCCATCCCTCTAGGCGTCTGCGGCCTTCCCAAGGCCTAGTCAAGGAGCCCAAGCAGTGTGCAGACAGCTCCCAGCAGGGTGTTTCTGCTTGTGTTCAAGCCTCAGAGAGGCTGGACTTGCTTGGGAAGGAACACCAAACCTTTATGGGAAAGAGGAGTCAGCTTCTGTACCCCAGCTGAAATCTTGAGGCACCCTCCTTGTGAAAGCCCACAGTAGTCTGGGCTTTCAAATTACAGAGACAGCCCTGAGGGGGTCTCTGGAAATCAGGCCTCCAGGGAGCAAGCTTCCCCAAGCACAGGACTGCTTGTCTTCCAGCTGGCCTCCCAGAGCAAGCTATAGTGATTCCACAGCATGGCATCCATCCTGTCTTTCCACTACTTCTCACCCTGGCAATATTTGATATCTTTGCTGTAATACTGACAGTCAATGCTAGGTTCTGAAGGCCCCAGCAGCTAGAAAGAGCAAATACCCAGACAAGGGTGAATCCCTGATCCTTTGTTCTGTCCCTGTCATTCATATGCCATGCCCATCCAACCCAGGTGGACACCAGAACCCCTTCCTGGTGTCCACGGTGAGTCCAGGAATGGTCACTGGTAAGGCTTCTGAGAGGGATGGGGGCCAGAGACAACCTTGCCTGCTCCAACATCTTGTCGAAGAGTTCTCTGGGACTAGGCCAGGGCTGGGGCATAAGGAACCTTGGTGGCTGTTACAGGCCGTTGCTATTGTCCTTATCTGAGGCTCCTTGTTCTTACACCACGTCCTCAACGGCCTCTAGAGTCAAGGGGCCCTGTTGTTCTCTCCCAAACAGACCGTTATGGTTTCCGTTGTTTGGGGAGGGGGACTGTCTGCTTAATTAATCATTTTGGGCCACCCTGGGAAACTCAGGCTGGAAGCCTGGACCGCTACCCTCAAAGTTAGAAAGAACTTTCTAGTTTGCTATATTTGGGTCCCTTTTTCTTTCCATTCAGACACATATGTGGGCAGGAGAGGGTGTGTGTGTGTGTGTGTGTGTGTGTGTGTGTGTGTGTGTGTGTATAGCAAGCACACCCTTGTCCTTGTATCTACTGTTCTCTGTGTGTTTTTGTTTCCTAGATTCTGCAAGGAACTTCCCCTGATTCTTCCTAATTACCAGAGGAGAAGAAACTGGAGATGCCTAGGGCAAAGGTCAGACTCCACCTGTTTTCCTTGCACTGCACTTTCTGGCAGTTCCCACAATAGTGCAGATAAGTAAAAGATTAAGGCAATCTTTTCTAATTAAAGTAATTAAAAAATGGGAGGGGGTGTGAGTGTGATTGCACCCTTTCATCTGAAAGGGAAAATATTTACTCATCAAACTGCAGGTCCTTAAAAGCATCCAGGAGGTCTATCTGGACAAACGGATGCCTCCCTCCCCCACTAACCCCCCCCAGCCTGCTGTCCTCCTCTTCCTGTGCACATGTACACACACACACACACACACACACACACACACACACACACACACACACACGGGGGTGGGGGGAGACAGAGAGAGAAAGAGAGGTTGGTTTATGGAGGTAGGGACTCTTTAACCAGCCTCCTGCCCGGCACAGTGGGAAGGTTTCTGGAGCCCTTGGAACTTGGGTTTGACATACATACAGTGGTGTTTCACTTTGTTTTGTTTTTATAAAGCAGGGTCTCCTTGTATGGACTGGCTTCAAACTAACCATGTGTCATCAAGGCTGGCCTGGCCTTGAACTCCTTATCCTCATGCCTCAGCCCCTGAAATGCTGAGTCTTTAGACGCTGGCTCTACCATTGAGACTTTGGCATTGCTCTTTCTTCCTAGGATTGTGACCCCAACAGAGGCCCTTGGCTTGCCTCTGGGTGCTTCATCCTCTTTAAGTCTCTTTCCTCTGGCTGGGATTGGGTGGAGAGATCTCCAGGGAGGTTGGTCAGTCTTGGATATGGTCTTCTATTCTTCCCCAGCTATGGCCAGACAGACAATTTTTACATGGACCTTTTGTACAAGTCCATGTGCCTGGCAAATGAACACCTGATCAGTGACAGAGGGTGTGTATGTGGCACCAGCTTCCTAAATGGGAAAAAAAAAAAAAAAATCTAGTAGCACATCCTCTGGTCCTTCCCCCAAATCAGCATGTGGTGTGATCACTTTTGAGTTTTTAGAGGCAAAATTGTCACCCACATTTCTGGTGGGTGATGCTGAACAGCACAGTTGAAACTTTTCCCTAGATAGGGGGCTTAGCTAGTGAGGTGTGGCAGTGGAGACAGTAGCCGCCCACTCCAGGGGGTAGGGGCTTTGAGGAATGGGGGGGGGTTGTGACCAGGAGAGATATTAACACCCTGGCCAAGAGGCTGGGGTGCCTAGTGTCTTCTCCACACCTAATCTCCACCACTAGGAGATCCTTGAGAGCCTGGCAGCTCCCCAATCCTCAGAACATGACAGGAATGCTCCAAGAATACTCCAGCTCACTTGTTCCCTAGCCAGGGCCTGGCCACTGCCCATCCCAGGGCTAAGTTAGATAGCATCCTTAAGGTGATGCAGGGCTGCTACCCCTAGCAAGATCACCTTTGCCGAGCCAGTGTAGATGGATCCATGTCTACAGTGGAGTCATCCATCCAGGAAGGGCTGGGCAAGGAGAGGGGATGGGTGTGGAGCTCAGGGTCAACAGTGCTGCTGTCTTTGGACTTTGAACTCTAATAAAGCCACTCTCAAACACCCCTCTCCCTTGGCCTGCCCAGACCAGTTTTGGCCTCCAGAATGGCAGATCTCACTCAGTCATTTGTCTGATCACCAGCCATAGCAACTTGTCATAACCCCCCCCCCAACCCAGGGAACAGATTCACTGGTATACCTAAAGTAAAAGATCCTGAAACCCACCTCACATTGCAGGCTGAAATGTCTTACTGGTCCCCAACAACACAGGGCTCATGCAGACCTGTGTGCACAGGTGTCCGCTACCAAAAGGAAAAAAAAAAAAAAAAAAAAAAAAAAGGCAAACAATTACCGGGGGCCTGGATGGAAGCCCATGCTTGGAGCCCAAGGCCCAAGGCAGAAGCTTTTATATCTTCTACTGCAATGCAATGCTGGGTGACCCTGGCTTCCTCCCAGTGTTATCACTCTACACTAGTCCCCTCTCCCCCAATGCTGCCTCTGCCTGCAGCATCAGGGTGCTGGCAGCACAGCCCTGCTCTTCTTTAGCTGGACTCAGGGAATTGTGTCTGACCCATCCTACGCATGATTCGGTGATTAGCTTACTCAATGGAAACTGTCCCTGGGGAACTGGAATCCTTGCTGCAAAAATAAATTCTCCCTCTGGACGGGCTTTTCTAGTCTTCCTTTTTCTGCACTCTGCAACCCCACCCCCACTCTCCCCACTCCCTGCCTCTTTCCTTCTAGCATCCCAATCAGCTTTTATCTTTATTCTTTCCTCCCACTGAGACCCAAACCAATCTGGTAAACAAACTGCCAGGCCACTCTCTTAAAGAGATAGATCCTGGCTGTTGGAGCTCAGGGTTGCACAGGAGGCATGGGGAGATGGTTTAGAGGTTAGTCATCACTTAGGAGACAAGGAGAAAGGAGAGAGCAGTTCAGAAAGATGCCCTCGGATCTCCCTGTTATTTTTCGTAACTCATGGGAACGAGGGACCAGGAAGGAACTACTTCGAGGGATGAGGACAGCAGACCTCTCTGAGAGGCACCACCTCTTCGGGCTTGAACATCTAGACCCTTGTTTCTTTTGCCCCTGAGATCAGAGAAAGATCTCTCTCTCTCTCTCTCTCTCTCTCTCTCTCTCTCTAGCATGACTTGTAAAATGTATTTTCATTTGTACCTCCTCCCCCACCAAATGGACACATCTATGAGATGATAGAGGACAAAATAAATAAATAATAATAATGACATCTTGGTTCTAGCATAGCTGTATGAACTCCATCAGTAACTGTTCGTATGTTGCAGGTGCAGCAACTGAAGTCCCCGTGGAGGTCAGTGTGTGTGTGTGTGTGTGTCTGCTTGTGTGCTGGGCCACTGCATTGAGGAGCCTTTGCCCCAAATGACCAAGAATGTGTACTCCTCACTCCCATCTGAGCGGGAAGTTGGCAGCTTACAGAGGGCAGGCTGGGTTCATTCTGTTCCCAGTGAATGGGACAGGTGACAAGCTGAGTTTGGAGTCTCCTAGGGATCCTGCGCAAGCTGCTTGATGAGATTCTGCAGGCCCATTGGCTGCCCCAAGACCAGACTAAGGTTCAAGTAGTGAGGTCTGGGAGAGATGTTCGCCTCTCCCCTTGAGGGGGCAAAGCTGCCTCTGGCCATTTCTTGCCACAGCACCAAATGCCCATAGCTCTTAACCTGAGCCCCAGGTGAATCAAATGACATTAAACCAAGTGGCTTTTCCCCTTTAAGAGACTACAGAGCCTTTCTCACTCACTCCCACTAGGAACAAGGCAGGAAAAAAAAAAAAATCTCCTGCTGGTCAGAATTACATGATTACTCAACTTTCCCAAAACAGACCTGAAGGCTGGGGTCTAAATCGAGTTTTTGTGTGAGCCTTTCCCCGGTGATTTGTGACAGATGTGTCAGTCAGCCTAGTTTACCCTCTCCCTTTCTCTCCTGCACCAGAAACTTGCTGCCACCTTCATTCACCTCCCCCACCCCCATCCCCCAGATTTCCAGGGACACAAGAAAAGAAGTCTGTGATTCAAATGGCTCTCTGGCTGGGTGGGAGTGTAGCATGTCCTGGGTCCTGGAACAGCTTTGCTCAGCTCTTCTCATCCTGCCATAAGTAGCTCTTGCAGCCATGGGAAGGGTGGCAGGAAGCCCTAATAGGCCTTAGCCAGTCTGGCCCCTTCCCCCCTTTCCTGTAGTCTCTCTGTCCTCGATAGATCCCTACCCCAGCTTCCTGGTGGCCTTCTGTCACCTGGATCTGTCCTGCAGCTTCAGCTTACAAGCTAGCTTGTGCTATGTAGAAAGCAAAGCTCTAAACACCAGCCACACAGCCCTGGCTGTTGTGCTGGCTTTAAGCCAGGAATTCCCAGCAGCCCTCCTGCATACAGAAGTTCCCTGTCAAGAAGCCACATCCTCATAGCTGGCATCTCTGTAGGGGACCATCTCCTTGCAGAAGCTGGTGGCAGGGAAATGAATTTTAAATAAATCATTCTTTCAACAATGCCTGAGGACCCTTACAGCCAGCACTGTCTTCTTAGACATTTGCCACCTCAAAACTTCCCTAGGATCTGACCTGAAGGCCTGCACAGTGTAGCGGCCATGGGGACAGCCAGACCAGGTTCCTCTGGGCTGTTAGATCCCAGACCATTTACAGAAAGCAGATGCCTGAGCCCAGAGCAGATTCCAGAATACAACAGGGTCACAAGCTGAGCTCGGTCATTGAAAGCTCTGCTGGTGTTAGCCTCTCTGAAGAGCACAACAGTTATCATGGGTACAGGATCTAAGGCTCATTAACTATGAGAGGTAGGGCTGGGGGTAGAGTGCATACCTAGTATGCACAAGGTCACGGGTTCAATCCCCAGCACTGCAAAGCAAAACCAAATGTCAAGGCTGGACAGAAATCTATAGTCTACTAACAGCAGTCAGTCACAATCACCAGGAGTGCTCTGATTTAGTGGGAGTGAGGCCTGAGGATTTGAACTTGTCGTAAGTTCTCAAATGATGCTGAAGCCGTCGGCTGGGGGCTGGAGAGATAGTTCAGCTGTTGAAGATTGAGCTCACAATCGAAAATAGAAGACAGCAGATGTCTCTTTAAAGGTTCAGAAACCAGGGCCCATGTGTATTGTGGAAAGGGGGAATAAATAGTTCAGGTCAGTGGGGTCACTGAGGGGCAGGTTGTAGAGCTGGAAGATCTCTCACACTTGGGTTGATAAAGTTCAGCCACCGGCTCTTCCTGCTGGCTGCCATGGCCCATTGGGCACCATTTAGAGCAAGCACTGACTTGGGGAAATGGGTGTGTACCCCCCCCAGCACCCAGTTGGTGCTAGAAATGGAAGTGGCATGTTTTGGCACATTCTGGCCTCCAGGTTGAAAACTGTTTATTTGGACAATTAAGAACACAGCTTCAGCTGAACCACAAAATCAGACGGAAGCCTTTATCTTGGGTGGCACAGTCTTGGTTTCCTCTCTCGCCTTGGCAGGACTGTAGAGCAGGGCTCTGTTGGGCAGGGTGGGTCTAGGAAGAGCACTAGTGGCTGTGGCCTCCAGGTTGCTTTTAGATCAGTCAGGTGTATAGGACCACACTTTCTTGGTTGCCATTGGTTTGGGGGACAGTGGGAATGTGTGTGCTGGGAAGGGCCCTAAGCTTTTTCGTTAGGGACCCCAAAAATTTTGGAGTCCCTGAAGGTGAGTGTGGGGCTGCTTCTGAAATTGACTATAAGATCAGTATTGGCTGGACCATTTTCCCTCCTCCAGAGATCTTGTCTGAAGCCATCTTTCTTCCTGACTCCAACCAGATGTGGGTAAACTCACACTGCCCAACCCCCCACCCCCAGGGTACGCCAACACCCCCAGTACCTAATATCTCCTCCAGTCCCTATCTGTCTGGGCTTCCTGGGGTCTCCACCACATGGAGGGGTTCATGGGTAAATAAGGAAGCTATTCATTTGCTTACAGTTCTCCCATAGCAGGAGAGACCTGAGGGCCCCAGGCTTTCAACTCCCACTGAGGGTTGTGGTTGGGGGGAGCTGGAGAACCAAAGACAATAGCCTTCTGGCCATCCCACTCCCACAAACTCCCAATCAAAACAAATACCAGGGAGTTGAAAAGATTCTTCTGAGAAGTTGTTTCTGTTGACAAAACAAAGTCTCTTGGTCCTCCACCAATACAGGGGACCTCTCAGAGAGGAGTCTGTGATGTGAGGAACATGGGTCTAGGAAGAGCTACAACCACAGCTACACCAAGACGAAGGGCAGCGGTCAGCTGAGGGCAAGGCTGCCTTGGCCTCATGCTGAGTAGACAGATGGACTCAGAGAAAAAACAAATCTCAAGCATGGGCCTTACCCGTCCAAGCCCCACCCCTACCGAAAGGAGCAGAGTTGGTGCACCCTGGTCCCGGCTGGCCAAGGTTAGCCACTTCATGGAGACTCCGTTTCCTGACTGTTACTGGGGGCCAAACACTGCCCACTACCTTCCGGAACAGAGCAATGCATGTGTGGATCTCTCTAACACCCATAGAATATGTTTCCAGAATCTTAGATTTTTTTTTAAAGTCATACACATCTTATTCTATCTCCGAATGACTCACACTTGTCAACCTTGTCTCCCTGGTTACACACACAATGAAAACTTCTTAGGGCAGCAACCAAGTCTCCTGCCAATCACAAGCCACTCCACCCCCCATGGCCGACCTGGGTCTCCCTTGTGGCTGATGAGTGGATTGGGCTTTGACCATTTTGACTAATGATTCTTATTTCAGGAGAATGTGTCAGAGCAGGAGGAGGGAGACCCTGAGACACAGCTGGGCCCTTTTTATCTGCATCAGTGGCTGCATTGGAACTCACTCCACCTCCCATTCCCCTGAAGATGGGGCATGAGGGTTAAGGGCCTGGGAGGTGTCTCCCTTGGGTAGTTCCTGCTCATGTTGCTCAGTGGTCAGTGGAGTGGGAGGTTTCCCAGCAAATGGAATGTAGGGTGGGAATGTAGGGTGGGAATACAATAGACCTTGTGACCCACCCAACCCCTCCCCCCAATCTGGTTCTCCATCCCAGTTCCTTTCTCAATATTATTTCTTTATCTGTTTTGGTTTTTTGAGACAGGGTTTCTCTGTGTAGTTCTGGCTGTCCTGGAACTCACTCTGTAGATCAGTCTAGCCTCAAACTCACGGAGATCTGTCTGCCTCTGCCTCCTGAGTGCTGGGATCAAGGACATGTGCTACCATCTCCTGGCACTTGATTTTTAAAGTAAGAAATAGCAGCAAAGAAAATCCCGAAGACCACATGGCCAAAGAAATGAGAGCGAAGCCACATGCACACAAGCCTGGGAGAATATGATGGCAGCCCCAAGCTCAAGGCGGGCGGCTCAAGTGTCTTTCTTCTCAGTCTCCAGGGTCCAACCTTGTCCCTATCATGGAGTCCATCTCTCCAAGAGAGGAGACAAGGGACAGGAGTAGAGAAAAGATACAAAGAATTCTGTCCTTGCTCTTTGTCCTGCAACACTCCCCAGCATAAGCTCACTATGGGGGTGGGGGTGGGAACGACATCCTCACACTTTGGGGAAGAAGCCAGACTCTGGTCAGGCAGTAGTAAGAATCCGTTTTCTCAAAGGAGCACCAGACCCCAGCCCCTGAGCTTAGTCTGCCTCTCATACCTTATTCCCCGATTGCAGAACCCTTTAAAGGGGGAGAATCATTGTTCCTCATTTACAGAAGAGGGG